ATCGTTCGCAAGTAGGGACAAACGCAAGTCGAGGTACCACTGTATTTTGTTTAGTCATCCTATGAGTAGAACTCTGTGGAGAGATACAAGCTGCATTATGGTTAGGAGTAAGAGAACCTCACAGAAGATAGAAAGGTTCTTTTAAAGGTACTTCATGATACTAAATGGGGATGAACACCTGCTGCCCATAGTATACCGCAGGTGTGTACAGATTTATATTGCCTATGGGTGTGGTCCATTATCAGTCATTCGCAATCATTCTCTTGTTACTACTCTTAGGGGACTGGTTCACCATTATTGACCTGTGCAATAAGCATATTCATATTAACAATGAACATTTGTCTGGTTTATTCTATGACCTCATTGTTACTATCTTTGGATGCTTGTATGATTGAAGATCAAACATCTAAGAAAAATAATTTGTTTACATATGCCCATACTCCTTCACCCTGGAAGTTACATTGAAAATCTGTTTAATATAATGTTAAGTATTTTCATGATAATAGGTTGTTGAGTGACCCTGAATTTTAACCAGCTGCTTTGAAAAACCTTTTCCTGATTCCCCTTTATTGATTTTAGTGTAAAAAGACCCTTTGAAGTTTTTAATGTGTATTCCCTGGAGAGGCAGAAAAGTGAAAGGAATGAACTGTATCCATCCTGCCAGTCTTGTAGACAGTACATACCTTAAATGCAGCACCTTGGTATGCTGGCCCATTGAATGTCACGTTGCATTTCCTGGGGATCAGACCAAAAGATGAAAAGAATATAAGAAAATGGTCCATAATAAAATCCAGAAGTAACATGCAGTTTCACTATGAACATGGAAATTCAGAATGGAGAACTAAGCTCTAATTCAAACCAGTCCAAATGCCAGATTCAAATGCTTTGAAGTCTTTAGATGAATTGGTGGAAATCCTTTCGAGCTTGTCAGAGATAAAAGCATTTTTCTTTAACTCCTACTATACCTTATTACATAGTACATTAATAGATTGTTGCCTTCATGTAAGGAAGGAGTTCTGTTTAGTAGCAGAAGGCTGACAAAATTAGTCAATGAAATAAAGTATTCTTACAAAATAAAGAGCCTGCAATGAGATAATTGACTGGTTATTTCAAATTGATTTATTAAATTCACCCCTAACATTACACCCATTTTTCCTGGGTGCTAAGCTCAACTCCTTTAATGCCCGTCCATCTGGACAGGACATTTTAGCTTCCCAAAGTCACATACTGTTCCAGAATCTATACAGAACAATGCCCTCAAGGTAGATGTTTTATGACATCATTAAACAGTATTCCTAAGTTTTGACCTCTCATCTCATGTTGACTTTTTTTCTTTTTCTTTTTTAAAGGGAAAAATGACTGGGCCAAAAAAATGCTCCAACAAATCTATTGCTTTTTCCCATTTTGTGTCCTAGACAGTATAATGCATTGGGACAAACAAACAAAAAAGTCATGTGCCATTTTTTAGCAAACCATCATGCCAAGAAGCTGGTTGAACCCATTAGTCAGGGGAGCATTAGAAGTTTCAGTGGTTTAGGACAGTGGTCCCCAACCTTTTTGACACTGCGGACTGGTTTGGGGGGATGAGGTCTGTGCGTGAGGGAGGCAGGGCACCCCCGAGCTCATGCGCATGCGTGAAGGGGTGGGGCTTGGGCTTGCAGGCACTTGTGTGATGGGGCAGGGAGTGTGCACACAGTGGATGTACACACTTGTGCGCGTGCACAAAGGGCCGGGGGGTGCTCGCGGGGGAACATGCATGTGCGAAGGGGATATGCGGGGGAGTGTGTGCGGGGGTGCTGGAAGATCTGTCTCCGTAGCCCAGTCTGGCCAAGACCATGGACTGGCACCAGGCCGCAGACCCCGGGGGTTGGGGACCCCTGGTTTAGGAGATACAAGACATGTAAGCGTAAATCCATCTCTTAAATCCAACCACAATCCTAATCCTAATTCTCAATATTTTGGAATTTTCATGGCATCAGAATTCACTCCACATGTTATCTGTGTTGATGAGAATTCAACTTCACTTCACTTCACCTGTCCCTACTATTCCTCAGTTATTTTATCCTTTTTTCAGTAGTCACATTAATTTTACTAATTTCAAGGCTTTGTCATTCATTCTGCTTTTTATCAGTTCTTAAAGATCTTTGAGTTTGATTATTGTGCTGAAAACTGAGTTTCGTGGCCATGTTGCCAATTGATGAATGAAATTATTACTTGGAAAATAGGCTTGCTACAGAAGTGTAAAAAACCAGGATCAGTGCTGTCCAGGTTATTAATGCTCTCCTAGTTTGGTGAGGCACACTTAAAATCCTTGTTGCTCTCTGCTGCTTAACTTTCTAATAACTAGTACTCATCCCACTGGCACGAGGCCTTTGTGTCCCATGTAAAGTAGTTTTTAATGATGTCTTTTAATGCATTCGTCACAACTTGCCTTGGTAGCAAAAATACATTCACTGTTCTGAAAAATGTTACAGCTATTTATTGTAGAATTTGAACGTCATAAATACTTGGGTGTGCTATTTAGCCATAATGCTGTGTGAGAAATGACTATCACCTGAGAGTATCTTTCAGGTGTTGTTAGGTAGTTTATACGAGAATAAGTACTGTACAAGAATGTGTTAAAAGAAAAATATGGTATAAGCAAAACAATAGCAATTTCCATGTATAATTGTCTACTGTTGCAAGTTCGGTGGATTGTCTTAAACGGTTGTCTTTCAAAAGGAAAGTTCCTCTTCCATCACAGAATCAGGAAGAAGAAGGGGAGAGCACAGCCTCATTGACAGTAGGGATTTATCTGCTGAGAGTGACAGGTAGCTAAGAGTTGGGGAGCAGGCGTAGAGTTGGATTCAGTCTGATTCTGTACTTATTCCACTCATTCCAGTTGTGAGTCCATGATTAGTAAGACATGCTAATCAGAGTTTGTATTTTGATCCTTATTTTCCATTTGTAAACCCTGTCTTTTGTTTAAAAAAACACCCTATAAATAAACTCCCTAATGAACTTCTAGGGAATCTTGTGACACTGCTAGGGAGTGCCTTTCCTTTTAGAACTCCCCCAAGACACTTTATCCTTAGTGATGCTTGCTGTGACTAGATTTATAAAGATCAATTATGATACTAGAGCTCAAACCTTAGATCAGGACCTGTATGCTGTCCTACTCCATAGACTCCAGGGCCTTCAAGTCATGCAAAATAGACTAACTATATGAATCTTCTTAGGGCCTCACAGTTTCTGGGGCTGGTTTTGAGGGTTAACCCCTATGAGTTCACTCAAAATCTATCATTTGGACCTCGCAAAAAGCAGAGAACCTTTTTATCAGGGTTCTAGCCCTTTCCTGGCTCTTCACAGATTTTCTGAAAACCTCATGCACTTCAGTTATCTGCTCCAGTTTTCCAAATCTCATTATAACTCTGAGTGCTTCAAATATCAGTTTAATTTTCCTTTGATGTTTGAAGTGCATGTTTAGTTTATTTATTTGATTTCTATACAACCCATCGAGCTACCTAGGCTACTCAGGGCCACTCTTCTATAACTTCAGTTCCTGTTCTAATCAGCTTATAAGGCATCAGAGCTTATGCTCTACTGGCTTAGCAATGGAAGTTTGTTCAGTAATAATGTTATATTTAAATTGATCCAGGGATTAAAAATCTCCACCATAGGCTGCCAACTTCTAGCTGCCGCTTAATTTACAGGTCTAACTGCAGTGTAAGAGAGTGTTAGGATTTTCCAGGTGGGCAGAACTAGCTTGTATATCCTACAATCAAGAGTAAGATTTTAGAATGCATAAAAATAATAAAAACAAAAGAATTGAAGATAAACAGATTTATGTCAGTATGAGCTGAAATACATTATGTGGATTATAATCCATATCCTCAGACTCAAGGAGTATAATAGATAGGCCATAGCTCTATGGACCCCATTGCTTTGCATGTATAGGGTTGATGGCAAAGGTATTGGGTCTAAATGAAATGGGGCATGGTGACAATTACATTGATAATGAGTGAAATCAAAAGAAAAAGAAAAAATAAAGAAGACAAAAATATTGTGGCACTTTAAAGACTAACTGCTATATTTTAATTTGAGCTTTCATGGGCAAGTGCAATTCTTCGGGTGATGGGCTTTCAACATAACAAGAGCATTATTAAGACCAGTAATGATCAGTCACAGTGTTGATTACATAGACACCCTGTTAGCAGCAATGAAACATTTTTAGAAAGTTTTCAGATTAGCAGTATGTCAAGGAGAAAATTTTTTCGTTATAGCTGTGAGTCTTATGAATAGCTATAAACAAAAAGTTATTTTCTTTGATGTAATTCGAACCTCATCCCCTTTTCTGATGGTTAGGTAATAGCATATCTGTAAAAAGTCTGTGAAATAGTGTTAATCTTTAAATTTTATTTCTGAAAAAATTGCTGTGGCTAATGATGTCAGTAGCTTTACACAACATAAGTTACAAAACAGCTGTTACCTTGTTTTGTGGGAAACTTGGCATGATGCTGTATAGAGCTATGATTCCACTGCTTGTCTGAAATCAGTTCTCTAGGGCAGTGGTCCCCAACCTTGGGCCTCCAGATGTTCTTGGATTTCAACTCCCAGAAATCCTGGCCAGCAGAGGTGGTGGTGAAGGCTTCTGGGAGTTCTAGTCCAAGAACATCTGGAGGCCCAAGGTTGGGGGGGACCACTGCTCTATGACATACCTAACAAATTGGTAAATCTTAAAAACTGCATACTTAGATCTCAGTGGTTTCCATGTCATAGTACTAATAATGAAGACAAAATCAAAACGCATATATAATTCTTATGAGAGAGTCCATGGGAGCCTTGGGGTGGGGGAGGATCAGAAATATTTTATTTCTGAAAAATCACTACAGTGGATGACATCATTAGACTTAAACAGCGTAATTTGCAGAACAGGATTTCTGTCAATTGATCTCAAAACATTTGCGTACCCACTCAAGGAGGAAGCAAAGTAATGTGTTCCCCATTGTTTCTTGTTGCAGAACAGTGCTAATGCCTATTGCTAATGAGTTTGCTCCAGATGTTGTGCTAGTATCATCTGGTTTTGATGCAGTTGAAGGTCATCCTGCACCACTTGGAGGATATAATCTATCAGCAAAATGTAAGCCCTTTCAGATTTTTTCATTTCAATTGTTTTCTATCTCCTTGTATGTTTACTTGAATTTGAGATCTGTTTCAGTTTCATATTCATTTATCAATCACTGTAGTTTCCTCCCATCTTGATAATTTTCCACATGGTTTAAAAATAAAATGTTCGAGTGAGATTATAACAATAGAGCCATTAAAAATAACACAATAATATCACCAAAATGCAATAAAATTGCAATCAGCTCACATTCCTTTCTAAAAAGCTAGATTTAGGATATTTTCTTCTTTTCCCCAAGCTAAAATGGGGGACCAGCACACTTTCTAGGATAGCTCATTCAGAGGCCTCAAAGATAAAATATGTGTAGTATTTGAATGATTCAAAACGACATTTTGAAAGAGAAGTGAGGAACTAATTGGTAGATAACTTCCTACTGGTTGCAGCTGCTTTCATCTCTTCTTTTTCAAGGGATGATCTGTGGTATTCTCTATTCAGGGGCTATCCTGTACAGGGAGTTTATTATCCCAACTTGTATTCCCCCCCCATTCTTTGGGCTACTCCCATCAGCATTAGAGGGGTAACATGGCAAAAGTGAGGGGCAACACAGTTCGAGTCCAAAGGCTTTGGAGGGCACCCAGTTGACAAAGGCTGCTGCAGTTGAACATGGAGATTCAAATGATGTGCCTGCATTTCTCAAAAGAATGCAGGTGGTATACTGGATATACCTGACTGAAATATGTTTCTTAAGGAGCGTTGGCTAGGTCCAGTACATCTCAAGTCCGTAAAACTATTTCAACAGAGTAACTACTTCTATATCAGTTGCAGGTAGAACACTGTATACAGTGGTGCCCCGCATAGCGAGGTTAATCCTCGCTATGCGGAATCGTCGCTAAACGGGTAGGGAAAACGTATTGAAACGCATTAAACTTAGTTTAATGCATTCCAATACCTTGCTTACTTACCCGTTCAGCGAGGATTCCCCTTGCCGGCAGCCATTTTCGCGCCCTCGCTAAGCGAGGGCAGGGCGTGAAAATGGCTGCCACCCATTGCGAAGATCGGGTATGTTTCCGTATAGCGATCCCGAAAAAGGGATCGCTATACGGAAACATCGCTATACGGTGCACTCGCTAAGCGAGGCACCACTGTATATCTTAACGTCTCCACTGTGCTTACAAAGTGATGCTCGTAATGAATGGACAATGTGGTTATGTCAAATTCGTTGAAACTCGCACACATTCAAGATATTTTTCATCAGTTTTGAAGTGAACATGAAAAGAGTGATAATATTTCCATTTTTTGGATATTTATTTTATTAAATGAAAACATATTGTAGGAAACAAAAGAACAACAAAAAAATAAACGAATAAAATACAATAATTATACACAAACAAAATTGAAACAGAGTGCTCCCACACACACACTGGAACCAATAGAGGACTAGACCTTTTCCTTTATTTCAAGGATTCCCGTTCCCCTTCCAAAATTGTAATGTTTCTTGCGATGGTGCTCTTCTCTTCCCCTTTATTAATACATAATCAATAAAATCTCCCCAAATTTCTGTAAAAGTATGCCTTTTAAGCAGTCCTTTTTTAACTTTAATGTTGCATGTTAATTTGTCATTAATAGCTATATTCCATACCTCTGTATACCATTTACATAATTGAAAATTATTTTATTTTCCAATACTTGGCTATAATTAATCTAGCAGCTGTGACCAAATTAGAAATTAATTCTGTAGTTGCCCAGTTATATTCCACCTTATCAAATATTGATAGAAGTGCTATTTTAGGACATACTTTTACATTTTGTTTGGCTATTTCTCTTATTTCTCCAAATACTATTTGCCAAAATTTCATCACACTGAAATTTCCCACCACATGTGAAAGTATATGCCGGTTTTCTGACATCCCCTCCAGCACAACATAGAGTAATTTTTATTTATTTTAGTTTCATTGGAGTTACATACCATTGTCGAATTCTAATTCTATACCTAATTCTTATAGACATGGATTTCACTGATCTTACATCCCATATTTTCTTCCATCTCTCAGTGTTTATCGCTTCCCTCATATCATGTTCCCATAAAACACTCAGAGGATCCTGTTGATCCCCTGCTTCAATTAGTATTTTGCAAATTTTACTTACTGTGCCTTTCAGTGCTTTATTTTCTGCTAGATTTTCCTTTTGTAATAACATTTCCTCAAATTTTGTAACTTCCCTATATTTACCATATTTCCTCAACCAATCTTTTGTCCAACTCTCTAAATTGCAACACACTGAACAATGACAATTTTTCCAGTCCTAATACGTTTTCATTTGCTCTTTACTCCCCATCCTTTCTACCAAATTATTTAATTATTTGCTATCTTCAATATTTACATATTTATTTATATGTTGGAACTGTAAAGTCTTGCATCCAAACTCATTAACATCCAATTTTTTTCTTAATGTCAACATACTAAGGAAGGACTTCTACTCTTAATAAATCCTCTTTTCTTGGATTCTTTGTTTCACAGGCTTTGGGTATCTGACAAAACAGCTCATGGGTCTGGCTGGAGGACGAATCATTCTGGCCCTTGAAGGAGGCCATGACCTGACAGCCATTTGTGATGCTTCTGAAGCTTGTGTTTCTGCTTTGCTAGGAAATGAGGTATGAAGAAAAGCAAAGGCATTCTGCATTACTTACTTTCAGAAATTTACAGTGGCAGAAGTCCCACATATTTGCACTACTTGATAACTGGTATTACAAATATAAAATCTGGAACATGTTACGAGTTAATACTGTTATGTGTTGACTATATTTTCTGTAATAATTAAAATAGATCACAGTATCAATGAAGGGCCACAGGTCTAATCTTCACACATTCCACAAAGAAGGGACTTTGTTATCATGACTTTTGTGAAATTATATTGACCCACATAAAATAATCATTGCTCTGTGCAGGAAATTCATTGACATGTGTTCTGCAGCATATTATAGCAGTTTTGCATTGGCTATACGAGGCTGCAGGGGAGTCGGCAAGATTACTAAGTAAGTGGACACGAAGCAAATTATATATAAGCTTATCCATACTTCCATATGTCTGCAATACCTACTTGAAATTAAGCTGCAGTCCTGTGTACACTTATGAGGATGCCCTATCATTTGATTTTTCTTACTTGCAAGTAAATGTAACATAGACTAGTACAGTGCATGTAAAGATATTGTTGGTCCTTGTGTTGCCCCAAAAACATAGAACCTTCATTTCCAGCAGTTGAAGTACTGTGTAAGGATTGTGTAACTTGGCATCACTAATTGATAAAGTGCTGAGGTACAACTCAGTTGTATGGTAGGGAAGTTTGACTAGGCACATAGCTGAAATACATTGCAACACTTCATCAGTTGATCAGTTAACAATTAGGTGCAGCAAGTTACACAAATCTCAGATAGACACAGATGGAATTCTGTTAACAATCCATGTTCAAAATTCTAACTATAAACACCCACATTCACAAATGGCTTACAAGTAATAGTTTTAGAAGAGACAGCCATGTTTGTCTGTGCTAGCATAGCAGGCAAAACCAAAAGAAAAACAAAATATAAGGAAAAGAATGGAAGGAAATGGACTTGTCCATGGACGTTTCCATTGAAATATATTATATAAAATATATAACATGATAGTTAATCTTTAAGGTGCCACTTTTTTGTCTTCTTTATTTTTTATTTTTATTTTGTTTTTGCCTGATTTGCAAATAATAGATAATCTATTATTTAAAATATTTTCATTCCGCCTTTCTCCTTAAAAAGGGCCTAATGTGATGTACATTGAAAGACAATATTTAAAGCTAAGAACAATGAGTATAAATAGGCAGCTTACATCATTAGAAGACAACATTAAAGCTAAAAAAAGTATACAAATATTAAAAAGGAACAAATAACACTCAGAAATCGAAAACACAAGTAGTACTAAAAACCCAGTCGGAGCAGTAATGCGTATCAATCTACACCAGAACCATGTGTTTATGCATGCAAACATCATCCTGATCCAGAAATTAAGAGCTAATGCACGTGATACTTTATGAATAGAAATACGTAGCTGATTTAAGACTTGGAAATCTCAGTCTCATTCTCAGACAAATCCATGTGCTTGAGAGAAATTCTGGAGCATTTAGATCTTACATCAAAACCATTTCCTATCCCACCCCCCTTTTACCTTGTCCCCCTATTTGTATCTCAGCCCCTATCCCTAAAAAAATTAATAAAAACAATTAAAAATCTTATATTAAAGAAACCCCAATCACAATTGTTCACATTATTGTATGACAGCGATAACATTTTTTGTTATTATAAATTCCTGTGTCTCTGAACTCAAGGAGGAACAACATATTTCACCTCCCTCACAGTTTCTAATGCTTTGTGCTTTTTTTTAAGATTGGTTGTGATTAATTGTAAAAAATATACATAACTTAATGTTCTTCTTTGTAGTCTCTGTGAATGCACACTAATGGGTTTTAGTGTGCCTGTGCAGAGAAACCTTAGAATATTCTAGAGCTTAAGCACATGGTTCCGGTACCTCCTCGACGTTACCCTTAGCCATGCAAGAAACCATAATGGAGGTTGCCCATGCTCGTGCCATGGACCTTTCCATGGGCTCAGGCCGCTCACTGTCTTCTAAGAAGTTGTCAAAGGGTTCAAAGATAACTACAAGATCTCACCCCTCGCTATGGTATCAATGCCGAAGCCTGTGTCAGTACTGATGCCGGAAAAGGAAAAGAAGCCCTCAACCCTGCAAAAGGCCAAACATGCCGCAGATGAGACTGGGCCTTTGCCTTCGGTTGTTGACTGCCCCAAATGTGTTTACAAAGTGTCTAGCTCCTGTGGCAGCATATCTTCACCTACAAGACATCACCATATTCTCATACCTAGACGACTGGCTTCTGGTGTCCATCTCAAACCCAGGCACAGCTCTATACTGAAAAGACCTTATCTCTGTTATTCACCCTGGGAACAAAATCTACTCTCAGTCCGACTCAGAGAGTCTCCTGTGTTTGTGTGTTTAGTCGTTTAGTCGTGTCTGACTCTTCGTGACCCCATGGACCAGAGCACGCCAGGCCCTCCTGTCTTCTACTGCCTCCCAGAGTTGTGTCAGGTTCATGTTGGTTGCTTCGCAGACACTGTCCAGCCATCTCATCCTCGGTCGTCCCCTTCTCCTCTTGCCGTCACACCTTCCTAACATCAGGGTTTTTTCCAAGGACTCTTTTCTTCTCATGAGATGGCCAAAGTACTGGAGCCTCAGCTTCAGGATCTGTCCTTCCAGTGAGCACTCAGGGTTGATTTCCTTTAGAACTGATAGGTTTGTTCTCCTTGCAGTCCAGGGGATTCTCAAGAGCCTCCTCCAGCACCACAATTCAAAGGCATCAGTTCTTCGGCAGTCTGCTTTGTTTATGGTCCAGCTCTCACTTCCATACATCACGACAGGGAAAAACCATAGCTTTGACTATTCGGACTTTTGTTGGCAAGGTGATGTCTCTGCTTTTCAAAATGCTGTCAAGATTTGTCATCGCTTTCCTCCCAAGAAGAAGGTGTCTTTTAATTTCAGGGCTGCTGTCTCCATCTGCAGTGATCATGGAGCCCAGGAAGATAAAATTTGACACTGCCTCCATATCTTCCCCTTCTATTTCCCAGGAGGTGATGGGACCAGTGGCCATGATCTTAGTTTTTTTGATGTTGAGTTTCAGACCATTTTTTGCACTCTCCTCTTTCACTCTCATTACAAGGTCCTTTAATTCCTCCTCACTTTCTGCCATCAGAGTAGTATCATCTGCATATCGGAGGTTGTTGATATTTCTTCCAGCAATCTTAATTCCGGCTTGGGTTTCTTCCAGTCCAGCCTTCCACATGAT